GGCTTAGAGTGGTTCTGTGACCTGTACAAGGTCACACAGCTGTTAAGTGGCAGAGCTGGGGTGCAGATCCTGGCTGGCCTGATCCTAGAGTCAGGCCTTTATCCCTAAAAATCTTCCTGGCCAGGCATGGTGGCTCACGCCTGTAATCCCAGCGCTTTGGGAGGTCAAGGTGAGTGGATCACCTGAGGTCAGGAGTTTGAGACCAGCCTGGCTAACATGGTGAAACCCCGTGTCTACTAAAAATACAAAAATTAGCCGGGTGTGGTGGCGCATGCCTGTAATCCCAGCTACACGGGAGGCTGAGGCAGGAGAATCACTTGAACCTGGGAGGCGGAGGTTGCAGTGAGCAGAGATCGCACCACAGCACTCCAGCCTGGGCAACAGAGAGAGACTCCATCTGAAAAAAAAACAAACAAAAAAACCCCCAAAAGGCTCTGCCTGTTACTCTGGGACCCCTATGTTGCCCATGACATGAAAGCAGGACCTAACAAATGCCCTGGGTTTTGTGTGTGGTATCTCCTCTGAAAGCCTCCCCTGCTTCTGTAGGCTGGGAAGGCCTCTGTGCTACCCCCACCAGTGCATGGACCATGCTGTTGTAACTCCATTTTATTGTCTCCTTATAGAGATTGTAAGTCTCAGGAGGCCAGGGATCATGTCTGACTTGTTTACTGTATCCCTGATGCCTACCTCAATGCCTGGCACAGAAAGGCTCCTCAAAAAATGTTTGTTGAATGAATAAGTGAATGAATGAATGAATGAATGAATGAAAAAATGACCTCATATATTTACTTATCCAAAAGCCTGGAGCAGAGTCTCTCCAGGACCCTTTGCTACAGGGAGTGATCCCAATGCCCTTGAGGGTAAGACACAGGGTAAGACCAGAACTGCCTATGAGCCCTTTCTTTATCTGTCCCCAGGTGTATGGAGCATCCAACGTGGAGCTCATCACCCGGACACGGACAGAGCATCTTTCAGAACAGCACAAGGGCAAGGTCAAAGGTAATGAGGCAGAGGTGGATGGGGAGAGGTATTGCAGGATTGCGGGAACCAGCTCCCACTTCAATGCTTCCATCAGTATTCCCACAGGCATCCTAGCAAGAGCCTGGATGCTTTATTCAGGCCAATAGATTTTAATTCAGGTGCCAAGCCCTAATGATGGATAGTGGCTTCCTAGAGTACTAAGAAGATTCTAAGGACTCATCTGGGTTCAGTGGAGAGGCATGCTGCAAGTGATTACTAATGTCGGTGTTGAATTTGGGAGGGGAGAGAAATGCCATGTATGCCATTTATTGGCCATTCTAGTCCAGTGGGACATATCCTAGTTAGAAAGTCAGGGGACCTTGCCATAGATTCTGTATGCCCACTGATGCCACACCTGATTCTGTGGGTACCAGATACTGTGTCCGAAGTGAAAAAGCATAATTTCTACCTCACAGGGGAACAACATGAAGTCATACCTATGAAAGTGCCTGAAGCAGAGCACACACACACACATGCACACCCTACAATGCCTACTGGGGAAGGCGTTTTACTGTCCAGGGTCACCGAGCTGGAGAGGAGCACTTTTGGAAGTTGCTTCTGAGCCCTGGGCCTACTTTTTACTGTTTTAAGCTGTGCTCACAGAGGCCCTGGCCCCTGGCCCTTGGAGCCCTCAGTCCTCTTCAGGTGAAGGTGCCTGAATATGTGGTTGGGTGAGCAGGCCCCACCCCAGGAAGCAGCCTCTTTCCTAGGTCTTGGGTGCTGTCACCTCTGATGAGGTGCCCAGGTGTGTGTGGAGCTACAGTGTCCTCTGAGATGCCACATTTCTTGTAGGCTGTAAGACGCCTTTGCAGTCCTTCCTGGGAATCGCTGAGCAGCACGGGGGCCCCCAAAATGGGGTGAGTGTGTGTAGGGGTACCCATAAGTGGAGGGGTGTGGATGTGGCTCAGGAGGCGGCTTGGGAGGCTTAGCATGGCCCATGTGGACCTCCTTTCCACAATGCCCAAGGCCATGTCCGTGCCACACTGGCAGAGGGGACAGCTCGGGGGCCCTGTGATGGCAAATGAGCTGGCCTGGCATCAGGAACTGAGGGGAGCTCCTGGGCCCCTCCCCATGTGGTACAGACCCTGATTACTCAGACTCTGAGCCAAGCCAACCCCACTGCCATCACTGCAGAAGAATACTTCAACCCCAACTTTGAGCTGGGCAACCGTGATATGGGCCGCCCCATGGAACTGACCACCAAGACACAGAAGTGAGGCCCCTGCCGGTGCTGGGAGGGTGGGGGACTGGGGCTCCAGGAGATGCTGGGAGGCCATGGCTTCCTGCAGTGTCCCTCACCCCTTGGGATCTGGTGGGGGCAGGTTCAAGGCCAAGCTGTGGCTGTGTGAGGAGCATCCCCTGTCCCTGTGTGAGCAGGTGGCCCCCATCATTGATCTCATGGCCGTCAGCAATGCGCTTTTTGCCAAGCTCCGGGACTTCATCACCCTGCGCCTGCCTCCTGGCTTCCCGGTCAAGATTGGTAAGACTGCACCGCCATTTCTCCTGAGCCCGTGGCGGGCGGGCCAGGGTTTAGAGGAGGTTGGGGCGGGGCGGGGCGGGGCGGGGCTGAGGCTGAGGTGTGAGGGGTTGGGTGGTGGTGCCTGATGGTTTCCTCATCCTCAGAAATCCCCATCTTCCACATCCTCAACGCACGCATCACTTTCGGGAACCTCAACGGCTGTGACGAGCCGGTGCCATCGGTGCGAGGCAGCCCCAGCAGCGAGACGCCTTCCCCAGGCAGCGACTCCTCCAGCGTCAGCAGCTCCAGCTCCACGAGTGAGGCCCCCTCCCCGCGAGAACGCCTGCCCCTCGGCTCTCCCCGGGGTGGGTGGGAGGGGCGCGCCCGGCCGTGCCTGACCCAGCCCCCGCGCCCCCAGCCTCCTGCCGCGGCTGCGAGATCTCCCCGGCATTGTTCGAGGCCCCGCGCGGCTACAGCGTGATGGGCGGCCAGCGGGAGGCGGCGACCCGGGACGACGATGACGACCTGCTGCAATTCGCCATCCAGCAGAGCCTGCTTGAGGCGGGCAGTGAGTATGACCAGGTGCGTCTCCGCAGGCGCGCGGGTCCACGGGACTGCGGCGCGGCCACGGCTAACGCCCATGCCTTCCCGCAGGTCACCATCTGGGAGGCGCTAACCAACAGCAAGCCTGGCACCCACCCCATGTCCTACGAGGGTCGCCGACAGGACAGGTCAGTGCCCGCTGGGCCGGAGAGAATCCTCCGGAGAGGATCCTGTCTCCCCTAAGCCAGGACACAGCCCGGAGAACCCGCGGGGCCCTCGGCAGGGACCCTTCTGGTATCGGGATGGCTTCTGCCACCACTCTTTCCTGGCTCCAAGGCGGCAGTCAGGGGGCAGGGATCGAGGCCTCACCGCGGCGTTCAGACTCTCCCCAGGCATTGACGGGGAGAACTTGGTAGGGGCTGGGCTCCCCCACGACCAGGTGGGGGCCAGGACGCCGTGGGACTGACGGCCTCCACTAGAGGGTGGTGGCCCTGGGCCGCCCTGGAGCCTCCACGCCGTGTCCTGGCCTGGGCCGGTGGGTGGGTGCGCCCGGGAGCCCGCGACATTCCTTCCCCACCCCCAGGAGCGCCCCGCCCACGCCGCAGCGCCAGCCTGCGCCCCCGGCGTCAGTGCCCAGCCCTCGGCCCAGCTCAGGGCCAGGTTCCAGCGGCCACGTGTTCCGGAGCTACGACGAGCAGCTGCGGCTGGCGATGGAGCTGTCGGCGCAGGAGCAGGAGGAGCGGCGGCGGCGCGCGCGCCAGGAGGAGGAGGAGCTGGAGCGCATCCTTAGGCTCTCACTGACCGAGCAGTAGCGCCCCCTGCCGGGACCCTCGCCTGCGCCATGCGCGCCACGCCCAGGGCCAGGAGCCAGACAAGCCTAGGCCTTCGCGCCTGCAGAGCGGCGGCTGGAGACTGGAGCCACTGCCTCGCCGGTGCGGCAGCGCAGCAGGCACGATTCGGGGAGGGATTCGGCATGGCCGCGGGGTACCTTCCCAGGCCAGGGCCCTGGAGGCAGCTGGCACGGCCTGGTTCCCCTGCTTTGCTGTATGCTGATTCCCCAACCCGCTCCCCTGGGCTCAGATCTGTCCTGGGGCGGAGCCAGGCGGTCCTGAGGGCGAGATGAATCCTTAGAGGAGCGCTGTCCCCATCCCTTGCTCCTTGTGGCCGGTCCGCATTTCTGTTCACTAATCCCACTCCAGGACACTGCCCCTGAAGCCTTTGCATCTCTGCTCTTCACTCCTGGGGGGCAGCTGAGCTCCTCGCGTGCTGTGTCGCTGCTTTGTCCCAGACACAAACCAGCACGTCTAGGGCCCAGCCCCTCCCCAACCCCGGCATTTCAGCGTCAAGTGCACTTACCGGGGTACCCGGCTCCCCCAGCCCCCACACCCGTCCTGGGTCTCAGGGTGGTTCCAGCTTCTCCTTGGGCAGCCAGAAGTTGGAGTCCCATCCCCCAAGGCACATTTTTTTTTTTTTGGTGATCAGGGAGTGTGTCCAAGGTAGCCCCCTGGCCTGGGCAAGCCCTGACTCCCTCATGGTGCCTCAGAGAGTGGGGAGCATATTGGGCTGGGTAAGCACTAGACCCGAGTAGACTGGACACAAAGGGCTCGCCCAGGGCCCTGGCACCACCCCCACCCCTTCCCACCAGCTGCTGCTAGCCTCTGTGGTTGTACATCCCACTTGCCCCCACACGGAGACTGACTCTAAAACCCTTCATCCAATGGTGCTAACACCCGGCTCTCCCCTGCCCCACCTCACCCACCCAGAGAAGCACAGACCCCGCTAGGGGCAGGGGCTCACCGCACACCCTTGTCCCGGGCCTGTCTGGGACTGGCCTTCCCGGCTCAGCCCGAGGCTCAGAGGGGACACAAAAAGGGATGGAAGAAAAGAACAAAGAGAAACTGTTCCTCCCACCCCCTTCCCTGATGCCAGGGGCACCAGACTGATTCTGAGGCACAAATAAAAGAGGCTTCAAACCGGAGGCTTTTGCTACCTGACTTTACTGGGGGGAACGCCTACGGTGTGGGTTGGGGTCCTTCTGAACCTCAGAGTGGGGAGAGCTCTAGGGTAAGAGGCTGCCTGGTGGGCCCTGAGCCCCGGAGTGCATCGCCAGGTCTCCCAGGAGCATGGGGGTAGCATTTGCAGAGGCTGAGGGTCTTGTTCCCCTCACTCCCACCCGTGCAGGAGGCACAGACTGAACGCTTAGTAAAATGTTTCATTCAGTACGTCTTGTTTTTCTGAGAGAGGCAACAGCAGAGGGTTGGGGGCAGTGTGTGTGTATTTGTGATGAACCTAATTTCTCATGCCACTTCTCTCAAGATTTCTCCGCGGGGGTGCCGCGAGGAAGCCGCCCTCGCCCCTGTCGCTGGAAAGAAGGAAGAGAGCTCTCTACCACAGACCTCTGTGGGTGTAACCACTGGGTCCGGCTCTGCAGCAAACGGGATGTGTATGTGTCTGCAGAACTGGGGTGACGCCCATCTGGTTTACCACTCAGGGTAATGGAAACCAGTGAGCTGATTAGGAGAAGCGCTGTCATTTTCCCCAGCCTGGGGGGACCCATCAAATCGCCACCCATCTGAGGTCAAGCTCAGGCTCCAATGTCCCCAAGCATCGCGTAAATACTAAGCACTTTCCCTGCCCTGGGCAGAGGACAAAGGAGGACACCACCTCGCCGTGCAGCACCATTGCTGGGCCCCCCCCAGACCTCCCTAGGCCAGTTCCAGCCGAGTCCCAGACGAGGCGCGCCGTCCAGCCTCCGCCAGACCGACGTGGGTCTCCCCTGTGCTCCAAGAGTTACGGTCTCCCGCGAGGGGCGGAGTTCCCCTCCCAGTCCTGCCCCCGGCCCCAGCCCAAGAGGGCGGGGTCCGGGACCAATAGCTGGGGCGGGGCCGAGCTTGTGCGCCCCGCCGCGCCCCGCCCCGCTCCGCCTGCCTGGCGTGCCGGGCTAGTCCGTGCCGTCCACCAGCTCGCACAGCATGTTCTCCAGAGCCGTGATGCGCTGCTCCTGGGCCTGCACCCGCTCGCGGAGGGCCTTGATCTCCTCCAGCAGCGTCTCCAGGGTGTGCTGCTGCTGGGGCGGAGGACGGAGAGGCCGTGTCGTATAGGGGCGGTAGGGGGAGATGTAGATTGGGCCAGGGTGCAGCAGGGTCGATCTTACCGACAAGGGGGCGTCGCTGGATGACTGGCTGCGGCGGGGGACGGAGGGCGGGCGCACGTCCAGGATGTTACGCTTCGTGACCCGGAGCTCGCGGTGCTTCGGAGGCACGTAGCCGTCCCTCAGCGAAATGAGCACGGGATCGGCGTCCTGACCGGATAGCCATTCGTCCGCTTCTAGGGCCGGCTCCGGGCCCGGCGTATCCGGGTACAGATCGTCCTGGAACAGGTCTGACTGCGGGGGTGGGTGGGACAGGGGGACCTGCGTGAGAGGGGTGCGGGGCCTGCTCCGCTCCCTTCCGCCTAGTAGCCCTGCCCAACCCTTCTCCCGGCCCCTCACCTTGCGGGGCACAGTCATGATGATAGGTTCACACTTTCTTTCGTGTAGCTTGTAGAACCTATAAGGGAGCAGGGTTCAGCACCCCCGCAGACTTCCACGTCCTTAACTTCTCCTGTCTAAGACCAAGGGGGTTGGAGGCCAACACTTGCTGAGCGCCTACCATGCATATTGCACATTACACACATTATTGGTTCTATAGTAAAAGACTGAAGTTGAGAATGTAAGGCTAGTGAGCAGTGGGTCTGGCACTGAAACAGAACTGTCTTATCCCCCTGTCCCCCTTTTCCAAAGCACTGCATTACTGGGGAAGCCCCGTGGCTAGGACCCGACATGAGTAGGGGACAGAGGCGGGCAAGCGTTCGGGAGGGGCCAAGGCCGCTGACCGGGCGATCTCACACTTGCTGACATCCAGTCCCCTTTTGGGCATGAAACCCATGCCCCGCTGCGGCTCTTTGCTGCTGAACGTGTTCAGGTAGTGCACGAAAGGCGGCTCGTCGGTAATCTCAAAGTACCGAATGCTGCTGTCGCCCTGCAAAGCCAGTCGGTTCAGGGGCGCGCCCGGACAAGGCCCTCCACATCTCCATCCAGCCCCGTGTTCTCCCTGCCCGGCCGTGAGCACCTTGCCACACAGGTAGACGATGCTGGAGTCGGGATCGTAAAAGGGCAATAGGACCCCGTTGCTTGTGTCCATCTCCTGCAGTGCCACTGGCTCCTCGAAGTTGTTCTGCCCGAGTACAGGAGGCGTGACCAGCCCTGCCCCACCCTCCCGTGCTACTTCGGGACCCCCAGAAGCCCCTTTACGCTTCCTGGCCTTCCCAGACTGTATGCCCCAAACCTCTAGTGACCAGAGTTGCAGGCCCCTCCCCTGGGCAAGTCTCTCCTCCTCCCCTGCGCACATCGCTCCTCCTCCCGGGCACAAATACCCGCTGCGCGCCGCATGCAGTCACAGCAAACCACCCCCAGGGACTCGGCATCACCAGGTGGGGGCGCCAGCGCAGGATCCTTCACGCGACGCAGCAAAACTGGGCAGAGGGATGGGTGTGAGAATGGCAGGCGCTGCAGAGGTGGCAGCAGCCTTCAGTCCTGTCCAGGTGGGCATGCCCTGCGGGTGGGGGGCGCCTGGCCACTCTCCCGTGATGCCAGTCCCCGGGGCACACACCCCAAGCCTCCAGCTGCGTTACCGGGTCCCACAGGCCCAGCTCTCGCTGGCTCATGCGGGTGAAGCCGGTGGTGAAGATATGGCCCTGTCGCGTGAAGACGGCCCGCATGGGCCTCATCCCCTCGTGGGCCGCAAACCTCTCCTGGGGGGAGGGGGAGACAGGGAGGGACATCACCCAGCCGCCTGCTCTGAGCAGCATGGAGGGACGAGCAACCAGCTTGCTGACTTGGGTGTCCCGGGTGGAGGAGCGGAGGCGGGGAAGAGACAAAAGGGGCCTAAGCACTCAGCTTCCTGCGGGGCCACGGCTGGCCCCTGACCTGGAGAGCATCCGCGCCTGGAGAGAGCAGGAGGCACGCGGCTCTCAGCCGATCCCGAACCCTTAAGCGCGCTCAAAGGCCGATCCCTAGAGCAGGGGTGTCTGCTGGCTCCCCGGAGTCGCAGGGAGGCTTTTCCTGAACGGGGAGCTCCCCGCTCAGCTCGGGCCTCTTGGGCGCCAGCCACAGCCAGGGAAGGCGCTCCCGGCGGACCCAGCGAAGGAGCGAGCTAGCGCGCCCGGCGCGGCCTGGCCTACCGGGTCCCAGAGCGCGAGCTGCCGCTCACTCATCCTGCTGAAGCCGGTGCTGAGCAGCTTCCCGTCTGCGGTGAAGACAGCCCGCAGCGGGCGGGCGCCCTCGTGAGGCCGGGCTCTCTCCTGCTCGCGGGGTTAGTGGGTTAGAGCGCCCGCGCGCCCGCCCGACCGCGCTCGGCGCTTGTGCTCCACGCAGACATGCAAGCGGCCCACGCACCCGCACCCCAGGTTAGACTGAGGCCGGCGAGGCCAGGGCCTCCGCCCACCCAGGGCACCCGGCTGGGATAAGCAACATGCGAGGGTTGCCTCCCATCCCCCGCCCAGCGGGTCCACAAGGAGAAAGGGCCAGCCCTCGAGCCAGTGTCAGGCCCCAGACCCTGGAAGATGCGTCTGGGTGCCGGCTGAGAGGAGAGGGGTCCGGGAGCTCAGGTTTCATGCAGGTTCTGGTGGGAGGGTGGAGTTTCCAGCTTCTCCCCTCCTCAATCCCAAAGCGAGGAGCCCTTCTCTGAGCTTCTGAGATGCAAGGGAGGGGAGGGAACAGGAGCCGGGCAGAGAATTGCAGGCTGGGGGCTTACTTAGGGCAGAGACCTGTGGTTGCAGAGACGGGGGAAGAGGGCTAGTCTCTGGAGCAGGGATGTGACAGGTGAAAGCCAGGACCAGGGGCTCTGATAATGGTGGGTACAAGGTGCTGACAGCTGGCCACTGGTCAGGGGATGCTGGGGAGTGGCTAGGCCAGGCACTCACCGCCACCACTTGGCCTTTTCTGGGGTCAATGATGCGCAAGGTCTTGTCCTTGCAGGTGGTGGCTAGCAGGCTACCGTTGCTGTTCCAGCACACACTGTGGATGACGTCTGGGTGCATATCATCCAGGCTCAGCAGCACCTCCCCGGTGCCCACATTCCAAATGATGATCATATTGTCACCACCTGCCCAGAGTGGCCAGGCATGGTCACCTGGGTCCCGCCTTTGCCACCACCCACCCATCTATGGGGGACCCCTCCCTTGCCCCCAGACCTGCACTGAGCAGGACATTCCTGGCAGTAGGGTGCCAGGAGAGGATGCCCACACGCTTGGAGTGGCCCTCAAGTGTGATGATAGGTTCCGTAATGTTGCGCATGGGGGTATAGTCTGGAATCTGCCACACCTGGGTAGGAAGAAAAGGCATATGGTGGGTGGAATAAGGAGCCACCCTGTGCTTCCCTGCCGGCTCTCTTGAGTGGTAAGGGTGAAATGCAGGGCAAGATGTGGTGGCGCATGCTGAGAGCCAGGAGGGGGCACTGCCAGCTCTCCAGAGACCTCCCATTCACTCCAGCAGGGAGACTTCAGAGCGCTGCCCTGCTGCTCTGCAGGCACCACGTTGGCCATGGCTATAATTAGTCCTAAGCAGTGCATCCTGGGAAGGGGTAGGCATGTAGCTAAAAATAGTCTGGGAGCTGGGCAGGGCAGGGCTCTGGGACCAAGCACCTCCCTTATTACCACCCTTAGCACCTTCCCCAGCACAGGTGAGGCAGCCTTCCCTGCTCCCCTGCTCAACTGCCCAGCAGTAGCCCCCTGGCTCCTACCATGATGGTGGTGTCGTCTGAGGCACTGGCGATGACATTGTCATTGTGTGGACACCAGTCAATATCCAGCACAGGGGCAGTGTGCCCAGTGACCAGTGGGTAGTTCTTATCCACTCGCCCTGTCTGAGGGGTTGGAGAGGAAGATGTGGGGCTACTCTCCTATGTGGTTTTTAGGGGGTGGGTAGCAGATCTGCTTACACCTCAATTCCCTATTATCTATTTTCTTTTTGCAGATCCCTCTCCACATTTCTAACACCATCCAGTCCACTTGCTGCACTTTACTGAAGGCAGAGTTGAAACAGTTTAATATTAGGGATTCTGACACAGAGAGGTAAGATGGCCTCACCAAGGACACACAACAAGATACTCATAGAGCTGAGATTTGAACTTTCCAGTCCAGTGCGCTTCCAAAGACACCTACTTGGAGGAGGCTGTTCTTCAGCCCGTTCTCCTACCGAAATGTCTGTGGGATTCTCCTGGTGGAAGAGGTCAAGGTAAGGTAATAGTGTAGCGCTGGACTGGCCTCCCTTTCCTGGCCTCCCTTGGCAGATCTCTTCCTTGTGAACCACTTTCACCTTGGAACCACAAGCAGCAAGCATTCCTGGTGCCTACTATCGCCAAATGGGAGTTGGGGGCCCACCTATTTTTTGGTCTTCACAGGCTGCTTGTGGGGTTCTGAGACTTCTGCAGGGACAGGCACTAGTCCAGACCAGGCAGCGGGGGAGAGGGTGGCTATGTGGTACTGAAAGAGCAGACATATTGGGGGAGGAGGCAGCTCCAGCTGAAATTTGAGCCCTGGGGCCTGTGTCCCAGGATGGTGTCTGCATTGTCTAGGGTGAGTCACTGGCTTTGTCAGGCCTCTTCCTGACCCTGCCCCCTGTGGAGCCTCCCCTAACAAGGTGTAGGGGCCAGAATCCAGGTCAGGGTCATATCTTGGGGGTGGGGGGGAGTCATCCTTGGGATGTGGATGGCCAAGGGGCTTAAGGTTATGAAGCTAACATGGCAGTCATTGCCTGGTCCCCATCCTAAGGGTAAGGAGGGCTCTGGCCTCATGTATCATGTTCCCCTTCCTTTCCCTTCCCTTTCTTTCTATTTCACTGCAAGAGCCCTTGGAGGTAGCCAGGGACTCTTTGGATAGAGCCTGACCCTGTCCTCAGTTCGCTGCTCTGAGATGTGACTTAATCAAATGGTCATCTTGGGCTAGGGAGGAGGTTTTCCACACCCAAAACATGAGGGGATGCGGCATTAGGAGAGGCAGTGATGGAATCTGGCCAGGCTTGGCTGTGCTGTGTCCCAACCATCTCCATCACCCGGCTCCCCTCCTGGTCCCTGCTGGGAATGGGGTGGTGCGTGGAGAGGTGGGAGGGCTAGGGAGTGGGAGTAGGCCACCCTGATGTTAGGGTGGGGTGGGGTGGCCTCCCCTCTGGTCCTTGAGGGCTTGGGGAATAGGGAGGAGACAATCCACACAGACACTTCTCCTGACTGTGGAATGCAACTAGGTGAGAACACAGGCTGCCTTGGGAGTTCCCAGGGGCCCCAGCCAGTGTCTTCCCACTTGCTTCCTTTCCCTGGTCTCTCACCTTGGCCAGAGGCAGGACGATGAAGGCACCGCCGCCTCCAGCCTCCACAATAATGGCCAGGAATTTGGGGTTGACGGCACAGAAGGAGCTGTCCCATGTGACCTTGGACACACGGATGTCCTCATAGGCCTGGTCGGCCTTTGCTGCCTGCCCAAACACATGGCGGAACTTGCTTTGCCGAACCACACGTCTGCTCATAGCTGTGGGCAGAGAGGTAGGATCTCAGTGCCCAGAAATGCCTTTGGTCCTTAGTCCTGTGAGCTGTGGGAGGGAGGAGGAGTGGCGGGGTGGCTGATGAGAAGGGTTATGTGGTCAGGAGTCCGGTATAAGTCCATATAGTGTCTGGTCCTAGAAGCAGGGAGCTTTCTTCAAGGTGGTCAGAGTATGGGAAAGTTATTTTGCTGTGTAAAATGCTGTTTACTGTAAGGGGCTAGGATTTGGGGCCTGACCTTTCCATAGAGACCCAGGCTGAGGGGATTGTGGAGCCTAACGGACTGAAAGCTTTCTGGACGTTGGAATGTTTTTAGGAGGAGCCTCAATGCCACATTGCCCGCCCCCATCCCCCACCCCCCAACCCCGCTCCTACAGTCTTGATGAGCATCTCTTCACGGAAGTGATTGTAGCTCCCAGAGGCACCCTGTCCAGAAGCAGAGGCCTTGACCATTGGATCTTGGCTTAAAGCCAGGTATGGGGCCAGGACTGCACCACCACAGGATCCCGAACTTGCATCTCTGGAATAGTTCAGGCAGATGGGGTTTTGCCTTTTTCTAAAAATTTGCCAAGGGGGAATTTCCTCCTGTCAGCCAACCTGAGTCCTTTCTGCTACTGTTTTCATCCCATGCCTTGTGGGTGGACGGGTGGCAGCACAGAGTGAGGTGGGTCCCTCTTCTCCCACTCCTCTCTGCACTGGCTTCTCCAGGGAGCCCTGATCATGGTCTTCCGGCTTTTGCCTACCATACGCTTGTCCGGTTTCTCCTCTGGGTCCCCTGCCCTGGCTGGGCCTTCTTCCTAGTGAACTCTTCTTGGGGGGGATCCTCAACCCCATCCTCCACCCCTGCCCCCTCCGCGGTCAGGCCAGATTTGCAGGGATGGGGAGGGTGTGGTGCCTTTTCTTCAGCGAGGGCCTCTCTAGATGACACACTGAGTACTCCCAAAGCCCCAGCCAGTAGCTCCTGCCGCACCCCAGCCCCAGCATCCGCGTGCCCTTCAAGGCACGTCTGCGGCCCCGAGCCTGAGGCCCGGCCTCCCCGCACCCTTCTCCAGCCTCCTGCCCCAGCACTGCGTTCTTGCGAGACGAGGTGTCTGCGCCCTCCGGGAGCGCTGGCCAAATATAGACACCACGTCCTCCCCGCCCGAAACCGAATTTGGCGGCGCGGGGGGAGGGGGCGCAGACCTCTGCCCCTCAGGGACCCCGCCCGCTCCGCCGGCTGCGGTGGCGGCCGCGTGTGGGGGGCTGGGTACCTGGTCCTGAGCGGGCTGCGGGGCGCTCACGCTGCGAATCCTCTGCGGAGGGGGCCCGAGTGCGTAGGGGGCCGAAGAAGTCGTCAGAGCGAAGGAGCCGGCTCTCCGGGTGTCCGTAGTATCTGGGACCCGGGTGTCCGGCTCCACACTCAGGCCGCTGCCTGCGGCTCTCCAGGGCCCGGCGCCGCTGCAGCCCCAGCTGCTGCTGCCATCAACCTGAGGGGGTGGGTACTAGCTTAGGGGCGGGGCCAGAACCAAAGTTGCCCCGCCCCCTCTAGCGGCGGGAAAGTCGAGCGCCCCCGACCGCGCTCCGAGCTTCCGCTGGCCTCGGAAAAGCATCAAAAGTAAGTGTGCCGCAGTGTGCTGGGTACGCACGCTCTTTCCCTCCCTCCGTGACTCCCGGGTAAGCTGGGGAGGCTCGGGTTCGCAGACCCAGAGCAAGACGCTTGGAGAGGGAACCGACGAGGGGGAGTGCTCCCCTAGAGCCGGCAGCCGTGCGAGATCAGGTGCCTCCGCCCGCATTCCAGCCGCAATCGCGCTCCCAATTTAGCTGTCCCGACCGGCCGGGACTGCGGGACTGCACGTCCAGGCCTCCCTGGGGGAAAGAGGCCCTAGAGGATGAGGTCCCAGGCTGATCTAGGGCAAGTGCGAGGGCACCCGACACCGGGCTGCGAATGTTATTGTTATGAATGGCAATAGCGATCATTTGAGAAACCTAAAATGCTGGCTGTGTGCTAGGCATTTCACCCCATTAGAGGGGATTCCATGGACCAGGGCAGGAAGCAGCTGAAAGACCAAGGAGAGGACTGAGTGTAAAGTGAACCCACCTTGACACTCCCTCCCCTCCAGATGCCGGGGGAAGAGGCTGGCACAGGTCTCTAGTCACATTTTAGGGGTCAGAGAAGCCAGCCCAGAGGGCAGACCCCTGATGTTTTCTGGGCCTTGTTTGAATTGGTGCCCAACTGTGTTCCAGGTTAGCTTCCCCCATATCCCCCAATATCCACAGAACTGAATGCTGACCGAGGTCAAGGAGATTAAAGATAAACTAATCAAAATACAGCCAGTGAAGACCAACCAGTCCCGTAGCTCCAGTCTACCCAGTGTCTTCACATTGTCTGGATTTCTTCCCTTGGATCATAGGGGCATCTGGGACCAGTTATTCCTTCCCACTCTCCAGGGCACACCTGGGAGCGAGTGAATGGAACACAGCGTTCCGGAGGGCAGATACCAGCACTGGGGAGAAAGGGGAGGGAAGGTGGTAGAAACCATGAAGGGCCCCACAAGGCTCCTTTGTTTCTCAGGAAGAGTCCAGGTGGCTTGTAGGGACAGACTCAAATCAAGAGCCAGTGGCTTGTAGGGGAACAGAATAAAAAACTGTTACGAGTGCTCCAGAAATAACTCCTGGCATAGGGGTGCGGGGGCAGGGTATGAGGGTACATGAGTCATCTCTCTTTTACCTAAAGATTCCAGGCACATGATTAGGAGGAAAATACCTGAGTGACTCAGTTGCTCCTTTACAACAATAACCCATGCTTATGTGCTAGGCACTGGCACTGTTCTAAGGGCTTTATACGTATTAATTTCATACTCCTAACAATCCTCTAGGCTGGTCGCAGGTGGCTAATGCCTGTACTCCCAGCACTTCGGGAGGCTGAGGCAGGTGGATTACCTGAGGTCAGGAGTTTGAGACCAGCCTGGCCAACATGGCAAAACCCCATCTCTACTAAAAATACAAAAATTAGCCAGGTGTGGTGGTGCACACCTGTAATCCCAGCTACTCAGGAGGCTGAGACACAAGAATTGCTTGAACTTGGGAGGCGGAGGTTGCAGTGAGCTGAGATCGTGCCACTGCACTCCAGCCTGGGTGACAGAGTGAGACTCTGTCTCAAAACACACACACACACAAAAACAAAAAACAATCCTCTAAGGTGGGTACTGTTATTATCCCTATTTAACAGTTGAGGAAATTGAGCCACAAAGAGGTTAGGTGACTTACCCATCACAACCTCAACAGGTAGTTGATGTAGCTATGATTCTTACCCGCGTGGTCTGGCATCTGGTCCATGCCTTTCAGCAGCACGCATTTCTATCTCTCCCTGAAGGACAGTGCCACTTTATCTCACAAGTGCTGAGCTAAAGCGTAACAGAGTTTATACTGTGTGGCACAGAGGGAAGGATGCCTGGAATGAATTAAAAAACTGGTTCCAGTCCTGGCTCAATCGCCATATTTTTACAGCTCTCTGAACAGGATTGGGTCAGATTCTTTCCAACTCTGCGCCACTCCTTAGCAGAGTAGGGATTTTATGTGCTGCCTCCTCTGAAATGGCATTTCCCCTACCCCACCCTCCTTCTCTTTAAAGAGAACAAGAGACTCCCTTCTAGAGGGAAGGGCTTGGGACTAGGAAGCAGGAATCCTTCAATGCATGCTCCCTTCAGTTCCATCATCTAGGAAGGGTGGTGCTTTCTGAGTACAGGGATTCAGATATTTGCTTGGGCCTGGCGTAGCTCAGCCCTGCCCTCTAGCCTTCTTCTGGCTGCCAAGGCCTGGCAGAGCTGTGAGTGGGCAGAGTTAAGGCAAGAAGAACCAATCAAGGAAAGGAGCTACTTGGGCTTCGTGCCTCCCTTTTGAACTGTTAGCTCTGAACGGCAATCCATAGAAGACAGTCATGGATTTCATCTTTTAGGAAGCCATTTTCTGGATGAGGTAGCTGGCAACTTAGCCATGATTTGGTCCATCTGCTTTGGCTAGAAAACCAAGACTGAGCTTATCTAGATTGGTCAGGGATCCCAGGGTGAAAGACCTTACCTTCACCATCATGCACTCCAGCTAAAGACCAGCACTGTGCCCCTCCCACTTGATATGGATGATTCAGAATGAAGCAGGCTGACTTTAGCTCAAAGCAGTTTTTTCTCTTTTGGCGGGGGAGCGAGGGGAACTTCAGCAAATTTTGTTAGCAATTGGGAACTGAAACTGAGCTCTTCCTAGATGATAGCCCTGCCTTGTATGTGATGAATGGCACCACTAAATATCTCAAGATGTTCATGTCCCATTTCTAGAAATTTTTCAGTGGGCTGAGGTGTTTCATTTATTTTTGGGGGCTCAGCTCTCTCTTCAGGGTGACATGATTGGGATCAATCATTGAAAACTACTGCTGTTCACTGTGTTTCTTCTTCTGACCCTCCCTCCTTCTCCAGCACCTCCCTCCTTTATTGCATCTGATGAAGTACACGTTTCATCTTCAAAATAAAAATTTATTCAATCTGTAACAAGAACATTGAATCTGCACATTTGCGCACAAGTTCACATTTAAAAACAGCGGAGCACATCAGTAATAAAAAAATCTATGATACAAGTGGAACATCCCAACCACCAGGAAGATTAAGGAAGGAGATGAGACCACTCTATATTCTGCTTCAAATGCCTCAAAAAGGTCCCAGAGATTCCAGGGAGCACCTGCTTTAATAAAATGTGAGCATAAAAGTTTGGGGTGGCTTGGGGCAAAGGTAACAGTCAGAAGGAGTCTTCTGGACTTGTTTTCCACGTTAGAACAAGTCCTGCAAAACAAAGCAGAAAGAAAAAAAAAGAAAAGAAAAGAAAAGAAAAGGCACCTTTAGATATGCCAAGCAAACCCAAACCCAACAAAACGTAAAATTCAAACATTTCCCTGTGGGCTTACAAGCACTTCAGGGCCAGTTACCCAGTTTTTAGTTTGGGTATTAGCTCTGCACGTGTACACAGGACGCTGCCACCAGCATTGCTTTGAGGACACAGATGGCAGCACCAGTCAAATGCCTCTTAGGGGATCTTCAAGCTGATTAAGGATGATTCCAGTTTAGAAATCCTATCCTAGATCTCTGGGGCACTGAGAAAATGAGGCTGGTTATCTTCTCATAGCAGGAACCAGGGCTAGTCACCCTCCATTTCCAGGCTGGAAAAGTACAGAAGCACCTTGCAATAGCTCTTCATGGCATCAAGGGACCCCACACCCTGGGAGAAGGGTTAGGAGTGTGCAGCTTCCTGCTTTGGTGGCAGGCCTTTTCCTAATATGGGTGTCAGAGGAGTTGAGACAGCAAATATGCTTGTGTCTAATACATGCCTTGATCTTTTAGTTAGGAAGGGAAAACAAAGTCCAAGATGCTTTTAAGTTGGATTGATGCTGAAACAGCTAAAATTTCATCTTATCCACCATGAAAAAGCAAAACAAAATTAAACAAAATGACACTAGCCATTCACCATTACAACCATCACTATAAGACACACCATCACTGAGGAAATGACAACTATTTCCATAGAGAGTGCTGGATGGGAGGGCAGGACATAGATGGAAGTCAGCTTCAGGGTATACCCACTTATTCACAAGGGCTGACCATGATGGCACTGCTCTGCATGAGGACTCACAGGACAGCTAGGGCACTGATGCCTGCAGGACTGTGTGGCCGACAGGATGATGCACATTTTAATATTCAAAATGTAAACAAAGTATCCACAAATAGTCCAAAAAAGCCAAAGAATGGCTTTATTTAAAAATTTTTAAATGCCCTTAAAAGTGACTTTTTGCATAATGCATTCTTAAAAAAAGAACTCTCACAAAAACATTTTTACCAAACATGCCTAGATCACTTCAGAACTGAAATCCTCAGATGAAACAGGTGAACACTTCTGTGACCTGCTACATCTCAGAAGCTTCTCACAGGAAGCTTTGGGTTTACCCAACAGCATCTGTCTGGGGCCTGTGAGCAGGGGGCTCAAAGCCTGGGGCACTGAGATCTTCAGGCTGTCCTTGGAGCTCTGGGTAGTTAGAAAATTAGAAAGAGGAACTATCAGTAGGGATAAAGACAGAATCAAGAAATCCATAGCCCTGTCTCAAGCCTCCTCAGAACCAGGAAAATACTAAAGATCCTGAAGAGACTGAGATGATAGGAATGATCCCAAACATTTAGAATCTGAAAGGCAACTAAAATGAGGAGAGATGAGTATTACAGTACTATAGTACCACATGTCTACTAGAGTATCCATTACTCCTGGGTGTTTCCAAAAATCAAGAAAGGTTGGGGTTTCCCTTTCTGCTGACCAGGTTCAGCTCAAGTTCTGTATGCTTCTGGAGCTTTTACCCCATGCATCAAAACATCAACTCTTTTTACATATGTACATATGTGTACACATGCACACACACTCCTCCAAAATAAGTGAGAGTCTATTGGTGGTT